GCTGAGGGCATGAGTAATCTGCTGTGGGCTGGCTCCCGGGAGGCTTTAGTGTCAGCTTAATCTCTTAGGAGTGGTCCATGCCGATAGTGAGGAGACCACACAGTGCTTTAGATTCAGGTTAGCACACACTATAGTGCTTCGTTCATTTTTCACGTCTGAAAATCACTTTAAAGTTTATGTTTGAAAAAGACCAGCTCCAACCAAGATTACATTTCTGCTTCTGGTATCATCCTTGGGTTTAATTGCCTACAGGCTTCTAATGGCTCCCTTGAAATGTCAGTGGGGAGATGTTTCTGAAAATGTGTCTCCGACACTCCCACAAAAGGCTATGACAAAGATCACTCTCTCCTAGCTGCACTCCCCAACTACACTATGAAGAGTCTACCGTGGAAGCATTACATAACAAATTTGCCTTGTAATGGTCTCAGAAGTCAGTTCTGCCTGTCAAATTTTCAAGTGGACCTGATCAGAAACTCTATGTAAGTCTATGGGCAGATGAATTTAAACAGATATGTGTCCATTTCCATCCGACTACCTCCAAGTCCATCCAGGTCTGGAAAAAAAAAAAATGGTAAAAGGTCTGTGTCCTTTACCATTTTTCCAGACGCAAATGTGAAGGATCAGAGGCAGGCTGATGATAAATGAGTGCAAATACATTTTCAAACGGTCAGCCATATAGCCAACAAGGGTCCAGAAAGCTCCAGTTTTTAAAATCAGAAAAAGCAGGAGATCTGTTTATGGATGCACTGCAGATCTGACCAGACAGCACCTGTGGGAAAGAGGCATGAGGCTTTAGTCCTGAACTGGAACAAAGGATCAAAACAGTCAGATAGGCTCTTGCTTCACTTGATGCATGTTTGTTCCAGGTGATACACCCAGAAAAGAAGGCAGAAAAAGCAGGACAACTATAATTTTCATGAATTAAGCAATGGCAGGCCTGATATTTCTCTCATGGTAGGTTTCCTTCAATTATCAGCCTTTAGGTGTTAGTTTAACTTTAATTGAAAATACATCTTTTTTGTCACAATGCCTCTTACTAGTGCAGCAGTACCTACTTTGTGTAGGATATATAGATAGTAAGAGTCTATAAGATTACTGAATGTATTCTGAGTGTAGGTGTTTTACAATACATTTCAGAAGCAAACTGATTTAAAAATGCTTGTCTAATAAATAGTTTATTATCCAGCTTTCATTTTAAAGGCTTTGCTTACTGCAGATTTTGCTTGTGTGAACAAAACATGCTAAGTCAAACAAAAAGAGGGCTATTAACCATGAATGTTTTAACAAGTCAGCGAGAAAATAATCAGCCAGTCATTTTTAGACATTGTAGTGTCAGAATATTACACAATGTTTCAATAAATACAGTGCTGGGTAATTATGTTAATGCTTTTGTTCTTAACAATAAGGTTTGCTGAAAGCTACGTTATGTGCATAACCTTCAATTTATCTTATGATTGATTTGAAATAAAAAGAACAAAATGCCTCAAGTGAAATATGTTGGTTTGGTCCTTGTGAATTAGGCAATATAATGGTATTAACGTGAACTATCGCCTACAGATTACACTTAAAGCGGTATTAAACCCAAAACCAAAAATTTTATATGTTGCAGTTTACCATCAATAAAGAGGAACTACACTGCATCTGAGCACCACAAACCAAAAAAGCTATTTAATTCATTTGTAATATTCAAAGAACCCCCCCATCCATATCTCCATGCTTTCTTTTGCTAAGAAATCACTTAGAAAAATATCCCCTAGCATTTCTGGCTGTGGCCATCTCGATTAAGGGAAGACAATTTATGTTGCATTAATTTCCTGGAATCCATCTGCCCTTAGATCAGGCAGGAGGGTGTGCTTAGCTGAGAAAAACCCCTCCTCCTCTCCTGAAGACTCCTGGGATGTATGACATCATTTGCCTAGGCATGAAAACTAGGAAGTAACTAAAGAAATACTGTTTAAAACAATAAATACAAAATATTTATCTATTTACCAATGCTAGCAGCATAAGGATTCAGAATAGTCAATGTTGACTGAGAGAGTGAAGTTTCACTTTAAATGTGGTTGCTGCATTCGTTTTCTCTTTTTAGGCTCCCCCCGCCCGAAAGCTCACTTGGGTAATCTCACCACTTTATTATGGTAGATAAGGATTTAAACTGAGTGGTCAACAGTCACCATAAACATACATGTATATGATAAACATATATGTGGAGGATATTTAATTGACTCCAGAATTTGTAATCAATGTTCGCTGTCCCTCAAAATATGTTTCCATAGATTGGGCTAAGAATGAAGAAAGTCATCAATGTATTTGTCCACTCTTGAGACACAGGAGTATATCCAATTACCTATTAGTTTTCTTGGTCAATTAAACCTTTGTTTACTTTAGGCAAGTAATGAATAGTAGGTATTTTTCAAGTAGATGTAACTAAATACTTGTCTTCTTTATTATATAAGACTTGCATATATACACCCCCCCCATCCCGATAGAAGTTCTTTCTTATATATTACTATATTGTTTTTCTTTAAGATATCATAATGGTTGTTGACAATAATCTTTCATATCTTTCTGGTAAGTCTTTTTATCCAAGATAACAATATGCCCACCTTTACTGCCAAGTCTGATAAGAACAGAAGAGATGTCAAGGCTGGGACCGGCTGCTTTCCAGTTTGTCTGTAAAATATCAAAATGGTTTTACAATATTTTGCTTTTTTATATCCTCTATTCTCGATTTGTATTGAGAATCATCTGGAGGGTTTATGCGATAAGGATCTAGTAAAATTTTAACCCTTAGTACTAGGTGGTTGACCTAATATATTTTAATTTAGGTGCTGTAAAGAAGGTGGGTGCCATACCTGATGATTTGGAGTGTCATTTGGATTTATTCACATTCATATACAGAAGTTTTTTTAGGACTCTATTGGTTTCAACATTTAATGAGAGCGTTTTTCAGTGGTGGGCCTACTTACGCTGTGCAAACTCTATGTTTGTTGTGGACCATCTTAACACTTCTTGGCTCACAAACAGGGCTTTGTTTTGAGGATTACTACATTCAGTGGACTCTATTTATACAACACTATGAGTGAAAGTGAATGTATATACAGTTGTGTTCAAAATAATAGCAGTCAGACATCACTAACCTGATCAATCACTGTTTTTTGTAGAAATTATATTTCTAATGGCAAATTTACTAGCAGGTATAGTAGAGTAATAGAAATCCAACAGACCCAACAGTCATGACATGCATGCTGCTGATTCTGTGTAATTGAATCACTAATTGAAAGGGGCATGTTCAAAATAATAGCAGTGTGGAGTTCTCTATTAGTGAGGTCATTCATTCTTTGAAAAACAGGTGGCAATTATTGCCCTTATTTAAGGAAGGAAGGCAGCAAATGTTGTACATGCTGGTTACAGTGCATTTCTCTCTGAAATTCTGAGGAAAATGGGTAATTCTAGACATTGTTCAGAAGAACAGCGTACCTTGATTAAAAAGTTGATTGGAGAGGGGAAAACATAAAGAAGTGCAGAAAATGATCGGCTGCTCAGCTAAAATGATCGCAAATGCTTTAAAATGGCAACCAAAACCTGAAAGACGTGGAAGAAAGCGAAAAACTACCATTCGAATGGATAGAAGAATAGCCAAAATGGCAAGGACTCAGCCAACAATTAGCTCCAGGAAGATCAAAGAAGGTGTAAAGTTACCTGTGAGTACTGTTACAATTAGAAGACGCCTATGTAAAGCCAAGCTATCTGCAAGAAGCCCCCCGCAAAGTCCCACTGTTGAAAAAAAGACATTTGCTGAAGAGGTTACAATTTTCCAAAGAGCACATTGACTGGCCTAAAGAGAAATGGTGCAACATTTTGTGGACTGATGAAAGTAAGATTGTTCTGTTTGGGTCTAGTGGCCGGAGACAGTTTGTCAGACGACCCACAAACACGAAATTCCACAGTACACTGTGAAGACAGTGAAGCATGGTTGCGCAAGCATCATGATATGGGGAGGTTTCTCATACTACGGTGTTGGGCCTATTTTTCGCATACCAGGGATCATGGATCAGTTTGAATACATCAGAATACTTGAAGAGGTCATGCTGCCTTATGCTAAAGAGGAAATGCCCTTGAAATGGGTGTTCCAACAAGACAATGACCCCAAACACACCAGTAAACGTGCAACATCTTTTCCAGACCAACAAGATTGACGTTATGGAGTGGCCAGCCCAATCCCCGTTCTTAATCCAATAGAAAAACTTGTGAGGTGACATCAAAAATGCAGTTTCTGAGGCAAAACCAAGAAATAGAGAAGAACTGTGGAATGTAGTCCAATCATCCTGGGCTGGAATACCTGTTCACAGGTGCCAGAAGTTGGTTGACTCCATGCAACACAGATGTACAGCAGTTCTCAGAAACAGTGCTTATACAACTAAATATTAATTAAGTGATTCAAAGGAAAGCAGAGTCTTCAAACATTTTTCAGTTTATATAGTGAATGTTTGAGTTTGTAAAAAAAAATACAAACACTGCTATTTTTTTGAACAGTCTAATATTCACTTTTCTTCAATTTTTTTAGAGGAACAACATAAATTTGATATATTTTTCTTCATGTTTTGATTTGGAATAGAATGTGTAGTGTTCCCAATGCATTTGTGTTTATGGAAATAAAAGCTATTAGAAGGATTTTGAGCTTTATTCACTTTTTTCAACACACTGCTATTATTTTATATTATTTATTATATATACACAGTTATGTTCAAAATAATAGCAGTAAACCCCATGCAACCCCAAAAAATCAACAGGGTTGCATGCCAATTGATGGCAGCTATGGTTCACAACTGGACCCTACATCAAAAAGGAGAATTTTAGCAGAATTGATTCAGTGGCGTTTCACCAATCTCTTACAACAAAAACTTCAGTAACTTCTTTCTATATCTTGATTCACTAATACAGAAAAAAAGCAAAACTGTACTGAAAGAACCTAAGAAGAGCAGAAGGACACAGATTACATGTTACGTCCTAACACTAGTGTACAGTCTATGCCAGATGGCACTGCAGTCATCTGAGGGTTTGGGCAGGGTTTGGTGAATTTCTCCAATGCAGGTAATCAGGTCCTGTGAGGGAAAAAAAAAGGAGCATCATTAGTTTGACATAACATTACACAGAACATAGCAATAGATGGATTGCACAGCAGCAATATGCAAGGCATAAATCACAGATATATATATACATATATATATACACACACACACACACACACACACACACACACACACACCTGATTTACAAACTATAAATGCATCATTATGTACGGTAATATTTCTCACGCCCTTTTTAACCTTTAAGCAGTTGTCTTCACTGACAAATTATACTAATGTGCGACACACACTAATAATTCAATAAGTATCACTCTCTATATTAGATTTACTCTTGTTCAGCTGATGACCTTACTCCCCCAGTTGAAAAGATAAGCAATTGAGAAAGCAGTCATTGAAGCTCAAGTGTTTCATGCATATGGCCATTATTAGATCTATACATACATTTACACAAATATAATCTTACTTTTTTGTAAGAGTATTCCTCCAATTTCATTTTGATCAGATCAGCTTGCAGTTTAGTCCTTCTCATCCTGACAAACTGACTTTGGGCTAGCTCTGCCTGTTTATGAATACAATCTGGACAGAAGGCTGGGTCATGCATCTTAGCCCGAATGACCTATTAACAAAAAAAAAAAAAAAAAAAAGTGACTGACCTAATAAGCCATCTCTACAAAGCAAAGAATTATTCTCCCAGTTTGACTCTAATAGGATCAAATCAGTAAAGGGCAGTGTTAGAAAAATGGCTTGAAAACTTCAATTTAGAAATTCAACATCATTAATCTTGTGTCAACCCTCATCCCAGCTCTAAAATGCACACCTCTTGGATTCCAAATAAGGATTCCTACTGTGTCAAGAGTTATCCAAGATCAGGAGCTCCTAGGGAACAATGGAGAGTGAAATGATGTACCGTAAGTGCTAGTTCTTTGGCAATTTAGATCCAAGTGAAATGTTTTCACTTTGCAGAGTGGAAAATTCCACTTATTCATTTTGAGAAAATACCCTCAGTGAACTCATTCTGTAAATCTATAGGTTCACACACACAGCATTTTGATGAGGGTTCTTCTCCAGCCACTAGTTGGCATCCATAAAATCAGGAGAAGGATGTTTTAAAGGGCGATTTAACTACTTGCCAACCGCAGATAGCCGAATGATGACTACCCTGCGGTCGGTCAGTTCTGGCAGGGCGTCATATGACGTCCTCCCAGAACGCGCTCTCCTACGCGCCCCCGGGGGCGCGCACCTGGCGATCTCCGTGATCGCTGTGTCCTACAGACACAGCTGATCACATGATGTTGTAAAAGGCCAATCACAGCGGCCTTTTACCACGTGATCAGCAGTGTCCAATGACACGCTGATCACCGGGAAATGCAATTGCTGGTTCTCGGCTGCACTTTCCTCACACTGTCAGAGCGTGAGGAAAGTACTGCCGAGAACCGGCAGTTGTCAGAGCAGGGAGTGCCCTGATGATCGGTGCCCAGCAGTGCCACTAACCAGTTCCGCCCATCTGTGCCTAGCAGTGCACCCACCTGTGCCCAGCAGTGCCACCTACCTGTGCCCAGAAGTGCCACCTACCTGTGCCCACCCACCTGCCAACCAGTGCCACCCACCTGTGCCCACCAGTGCCACCCACCTGTGCCCATCAATGCAGTGCTGCCAGTCAGTGCCTAGCGGTTGTGCCAATCAGTGCCCAGCAGTTGCACCAATGCCTAGCAGTGGCACCAGTCAGTGCCCAGCAGTGATGCCAGTCAGTGCCACCTATCAGTGCTGTCTATCAGTACCCATCATCAGTGCCGCCTATCAGTGCCACCTATCAGTGTCGCCTATCCGTGACAGTACTGCCTATCAGTGCCGCCTATCAGTGCCCATCAGTGCTGCCTCATCAACGCACATCAGTGAAGCAGAAAAATTACCTATTTGAAAAATTTTATAGTAGAAACAAAGAAAAAATTTTTTTTTTTTTGCACTTTTTTTGTTTATAGCGCAAAAAGTAAAGTGCCCAGCGGTAGTTAAATACCACCAAAAGAAAGCTGTATTTGTGAGAACAAAATGATAAAAACTTCATATGGGTACAATCTTGCATGACCGTGCAATTGTCAAAGTGCAACAGCGCTGAAAGCTGAAAATTGGCCTGGTAAAGAAGGGGGTATAAGTGCCCAGTAGGCAAGTGGTTAAAGTAGACCTGAAGATTTTCCAGTTCATGTGATGATAATCTAAGTGGCAGCAGCCTGTTATATGTTATAAATAATTATTCAGAAAACAGTAAAGAAAACAAGACATAATTTGAATATGGCAGCAAAGATTATATTAGAATGAGCAGGGGTGGCTTTCACATGGATCACATAAAACCTTCTAATAGAGAACTTGTCAGCCTTAGCAAAGTGCATGCAACAGACAAAAAAAAAAAATCTGTGCAAGAGCCTGATGTCACTTTGCTACTCAAAGCTTCTGCGAAATGATAGTCCCCTTACTGGCCACTGAACTAACACTCGTTAGATAAGGGGGAAAATCAGTGTGCTGGGTCTTAGCCCTACTTTGTGTGGTTAAGTCCACAATTTATTACTAAGGACAATTAGTAATAAAGTGAAACTCGGATCAGAGAATGGACAGTATAGGCTTTTGTAGATAACACAAGCAATAGGAGGCATCACCAATAGTGACTGTTCTTAGGCAGGACTTTTCTTTCAGAAAGTTAAAACAAAACAACTGAAAAGGTTTTCTTAAACTCAAAAGAAATTTTACACAAACGAAGACCCATTTTTCATAAATATGGTATGCAATACTGTAAATGCTTGCACATAGTACAGATACTATATAAGATATTTATATATTTTAGTGATTGTTCAAACACTAAAGTAGAACTACAAGCAAAGCTTTTTTTTTCATTTTGGATAGAGTAAACCTGTCAGTTTATTTTTTTCCCATCCCATTGGAGAGATTACCCTTCACTTCCTGTCCAATAGCCAAAACAAGAAGTGAGAGTAAAACCCCTGCAAATTAAGGGAATCCCTTGGGTCATCAGGACTAGTGTCCCCATTGGAAGATTACCTCTAAATTACTTTTGTGGAAACAACCCAAAATTTGAGATTTTCTTTTTACTGTCACTTTTAATGATAATGGTAAACACGCAGACTGGAATAAAAATGACAGGTGTTTGTAATCCATCTGATCACTCTATCAAAATCTAAAAAAAAAGTTTTGCCTTCAGTTGCACTTTAAAAACAGTGCATTTGTGTATAGTGACACTGAATGTACACTTTCTGAATGTTTCAGTCACCTGTACATCACTTTTACATCTTCTGTCAAACATAAGACAGCCTTGCCTCACCCATGCAATTACAATATACCTGTTTCATAGTTTCATTGACACTCTGCATTTGTAGTCTGTTCATTATCACACTTGGGATGGAACATGAATGATGCCTGTCTGTTGAACTCCAGTGTAGTTTCCTGGATGCGGCTTTTTCTCTCGAGTACTTGATCAGGCAATGTTTCTGGGCTGGTGACGCAGATGCTGTATCTTCATGGAGCAATAAGACAGCAATGGGGATTAAACAAGCTCTCTGTCTCTGTATAATTTGGCTGTGGAACTGAAAAAAAATACATGTACTTAATGCAACTTAATACAGCTTAAAACAATGTAATTTTTTGATAAAAATAAAAAGATGACCATTGTGCCACTACTCATTTCTGAACGATGCAATGCCAGAAGCCCTAAAGCAGTATAAACCCCCAAAACAAAAATTCTATATATTTTAGCTTACATATACTTAAATGGATGGCTGCATAAGAAGCCACTCTTGGACAGATGAGGGTTTACCTGATAACACTTGGGAAGCTGCTGCATCTTAGCCTCTGAAGTGCATTTGCCACTGGTGCTTTACATGTGATCAGTTATGAAACCATCTTAGGTCCCTTTAAGCGAAGATGTTTCAGAAACATAGAGTTATGACACAGCCATTTAGTCAAGAGTACAACTGAGAACAAAGCAACTGCAGTTTCGGCAATCACAACATGTCTTGAATGTAATTATTTGGGAAACATTTAAATGGATGGGTTTAGTCCCCACTTTAAACAAACAAAATTAATACAGCCACCACATCTAAGGATAAGAATACCACTTTAAAGCTCTAACTTCTGTAAAGCATTCAACTTCATAAATTGTCTAGATTAATGCATAGAAAAACAACAACAAGACTGAGGCAGAATTTTTTATGATAAGAGAAGATATACCCTGCAACCCTTGAGACTTGCATACTCATGAGTAGAGATGAGGGAATTGCGAAGTAGGCGAGATGTCGTCACCCAGGCGAAGTTACATTCCTTTTTCGAATTTTTTTTGCCTCTTTTCCATTTTATCACTCCCTTCTCTTTCACCGAATTTTAGCCAACTCCGGGTGCACGAATCGAATTTTTCCCGATCAGCCGGCAAAAGTGTCACTGCAGAGAGCTCCGCTATTTCTGACAGTTCTGACAGTTCATTTACAGCGGTTTTGTTTATGAAACATTGTATCTATTTGTTTCCATTTAGGATACAGATGTTTTTTTTCATTTGGAAATAAAATAGATACAATGTTTCAACCGCTGTAAATGTGAAGGAACTCTGTCAGAGAACTGTCAGAAATATCTGCAGAAACACGCACTGGAATACTTCGAACACTTTTGAACTGTACTTGGAAACTTCTTAGTTTTCTACTTTTCTTTTCATTCTTCTTCTTCTTTTTTCATTCTCTTCTTCTGAAAAGTAACTTCTTCTTTTCATTCTTCCCTCTTCTTCTTTTCTTTTTTCATTCTTTTTTTCTTCACAGCTCATTCTTCTCTGCAACCCTTCTTCTTCTTCTTCTTCTTCTTTTCTGTTCTTCTTTTTCATTCTTCTTTTCTTCTTCTTCGATTTCATTCTTCTTCTCCTTCTTCCGGCGCATTCTTTTCTTCTTCTTCTTGGCATTCTTCTTCTTCTTCTTTCTTCTTCATTTCATTCTTCTTTTCATTCTTCATTTTCATTCTTCTTCTATTCTTCTTCTTCTTCTTTTCATTCTTCTTCTTTTTGGCTTCTTTTCTTCTTCTTCTTTTCTTCTTTTTCTTTCATTCTTCTTTTCATTCTTCTCATTATTCTTCTTTTCATTCTTCTTCCATTCTTCTTTTTCATTTTCACCTTTTTTCATTCTTCTTTTACCTTTTCACATCTTTCATTCTTCTTCTTCTTTTCAGTTCTTGTACATTCTTCTTTTTATTCTTTTTTGCATTTTGTCTTTTTTTCTTCTTCTTCATTGATTTCAATTCTTCTTCTTCTTCTTCTTCTTCATCTTCTTCAAGCTTCTTTTCACTTCTTCTTGATTCTTCTTTTTTTTAAATAGTTCTCTTCTTTCTTTCATTCTTCTTCACATGCCTTTTCTTCTTCTTTCATTCTTCTTCTTTTCCTTCTTTTCTTCTTGTTTTTTATTCTTCCTTTTCCCTTCTTCTTCTTCTTCTTTTCATTCTTCTTTTTTCTTTCTTCTTCTTCATCAGGACTTCTTCCCCATTCTTCTTCTTCTTTTCTTCTTTTCTTCTTTTCTTTTCTTCTTCTTTTCATTCTTCTTAAACATTCTTCTTTTTCATTCTTCTTCTTCTTTTCATTCTTCTTCTCTTTCAAAATCTTCTTCTTCTTCATTCTTGCACTTTTCAGTCATTTTTGTATAGTGACACTGAATGTACACTTTCTTCTTTTCTTCACCTGTACTTCACTTTTACATTCTTCTTTTTAACATTTTTTCTTCCTTCATTCTTCACAATATTTTCTTTTCTTTTCATTGACACTCTGCTTCTTTAGTCTTTTCATTATCACACTTGGGATGGAACATGACCACGCAGCTCATTTTTGTTCCAGTATTACTGTATTTTTGCTCCTTCAAAATCCTGAAACTTTCTTTTGGCAGGTGTACAGACTCAGGTACTCAGTGCAGGAATGGTGGGAATCCCTCACAATGGACACAGCAGGTGTACATACAGACCCAGGAATTCAGCACAGGGATGGTGGGAACCCTGTCATAATGGGCACAGCAGGTGTGCATACCCAGAACCTCAGCACAGGGATGGTGGGAACCCCTAGTAATGGGCGCAGCAGGTGTGCAGACCTGGGACCTCAGCACAGGGATGGTAGAAACCCCTCATAATGGGCACAGCAGGTGTGCATACCCAGAACCTCAGCACAGGGATGGTGGGAACCCCTCATAATGGGCACAGCAGAAGCCCTAAAGGCAGTATAAACCCCCAAAACAAAAATTAGTATATATTTTATTCTTCTTTTCATTCTTCTTTTCATTCTGTTCTTCTTCTTTTCATTCTTCTTTTCATTCTTCTTCTTTTCATTCTTCTTCTTTTCATTCTTCTTTTCATTCTTCTTTTCATTCTTCTTCTTCTTCTTCTTCTTTTCATTCTTCTTCTTTTCATTCTTCTTCTTTTCATTCTTCTTCTTCTTCTTTTCATTCTTCTTCTTCTTCTTCGTCGTCGTGCCCCGTGACTGCCCAAATGAGTGAAGTGTGCGGTGATTCTAAGATCGACGGCACTCATCTGCATGTCATACTGACTGACATTTAAATATTTTTCTCTTCCCAAGCAGACTCCAAGGGCATTTAAATTAAAGGTACAGTGTTCTGCACTAATATAAAGGCTCTCTGAAGCCTTCAACCTTTAAATAAGTTAAATTCGCGGCGAAAAAAATTCGCATCAAATCGAATTTCTCCCGCAAAATTCGGCGAATCAGCCGAATCGAATTTTTGAATAATTCGCTCATCTCTACTCATGAGCCAACCTAGGAAGCATACACGGCTATCTACAGGGATGGTCTGAATGCCTTCTTCAACTAATGCCATATGGAAAAAACCTGGCATATGAAAAAGTTTTTCACAAAAGGGAAATCCAAAACTGGCAATGTCTTTAATGATCCCAATACAGCTGTGGACTGCAACAAAAAGAAAAATCACTGAAAACCTATAGTCAAAACTGTGCTTAATAAAGGAAATGTATAGTGCTGGCTTTTAAACATATCTTCACTCATTATGGTCAAGGCTAAATAACTTTAAATATTATTTTTAATATTTTAAAAATATGTTTAGTAAAGTTAATATGAAATATAGTTTCAGATGGAGATAGCTTAAAATGTAAGCAGCTTCTGCCAAGCTCTCTCTTTTGGAAACCCAAATTTCAATGAAATCATTGTCATGGCTGTATTAACCGTTTAATGAAAATAAATTTTACATTTTAGTTACAAAAAAAAAAAAAAGATCTAACAGTTTAAAAATGTATCAACTAAAAAATAAAACATGGACCTAATAACTACCATACTATATATTAAATTTAAAGTAACTAAAAGGTGCACTTAGTCTTTAAAAAGAACAGGAAATTAGCTTCTCCATATTACTTATCTAGAGTATAATTTAAGGTTAGATGTACTTTTAGACAAGCACACTTACTAACCTGGCTATGTCCTTGATGCAAATGAGACAACTACCCCAATACTGCTTCCAGTACTTGTCACATGCCCAAAGGCCTTGACCTTTGGCAACAGTTACTGCTGATGGGGTGTATCAGTCAGTGTGAAGTCTGATCTTCTCCCTTGCTGGACAGCTTCGGTTATTTGTTATAAAACTGCTATGAAGCAAATTCCCCAAGAAAGGTACAGCATCTCCCCACTGTAACTCCTTTTTTATACATCCAGCAAAAGTGTTAAAAAGGTAACTCCACCTTCATGGCAAAAAATAGCAAATAAAAAAAAGCATATACAATTGATACACAAGTCATATTGTAATTGAATGTTATTAAAAATTATCTTTCTTTTTCAATCTGCAGCACTGCAATTTTCTGTAAAATGCAATGCAATATGACAACCTGGAGGTGTTCTGTACACAGATGGTGTACAGACTGCCCCCCAGAAATGTAATTTCCTGCTTGTATGATTGGCTTACTGATTTCCCAGAAGTCTGCACTAAGATACAAGTCAGAGTTTGAGCATCCCCTGCAACAAAAAGTAATCTTTGGTCAAATACTCCCACAGGGAAACCAAGTTTAAAGGGATGCAGACCCTACACCTTTCCTCAATAGAACCCTGCAAGTGCAGCAGCTGCCAGATATAGTTTGTTAAAATCCTTGCAATGCAGATAGATCACGCAGAGGGGAATGTACTTTTCTCAACAAAAGTGGAGTTACTCTTTAATGTCAGAGTACAGTTCCACTTTAGAGCAAATGTATGATAAAGGTTTCTTCAGCAAAAGAACAATATGAAAGAATAATTAGATTCAGCTGCCTGAACAAAGCCAGGCTTGATTACAGCCAGCCCCACTAATTGTAAATTAATTGCTTTGACCATTATGAGTGTAAAGTTGACATCACAAAGATCCAATAACCATATAACACTCTGATTCAACGAAATTCCTTAAACAGACTCTAGGTGAATTCACTAATGTTTATTGCATGCAATATTTGTGTTTTATATGATACATATTTTTTTAATTAAACATAAAATGATAAAAAATATATAAAAATACACAATATATTCACCATACAAAAAAAGGCCCAATATGCATATTGTACTGTAAAACGTCTGAAACTGTGACAAACATCCCTTCAACAGGAACACATACAAAAGTCTTGTACCAGAGCAATAAAAGCATCTTTCAAAACTTGTAATGGGTAAAGTAATAATGCTATCCCATTATATCCCCTGAATGCCCTAATGCACCTATTTTCTTCCCCCTTTTAGACCTCCACCTTAATTATGTAGCTAAATGTATTAACATCTAAGTGAATAAAACAAAGCCCCAAGGAATGACCGTGAAAGCCTAAAATAAACATGTGCTTATTACACTTGAAAATTGAAGATTACCCACGTAATTGATTACGTTCCAATTAAAATCTGAAACAAAATGATAATACCCACAGATGTAGATGCAAAACCACAGTAAATGATATATTTGTGTTTAGAAAAGGTATGGAGACATACAGTTGTGGCCAAAATTATTCAACCCCCACTGAAATTGAGTGTTTTGGCCAGTTTGACATTGCTTTTGATCATTCTGAGTCATCTTGCTTACATTTACATTAAAGAGGCACTTGTAGGTCAGACAAAATAAACATAACAGTTATAATGAAATAACCACACAAAACTGTCTTTTCTGTGCTCACAGCATTATCAGTTTATTCAACCCCCAAGTGACATTCAATCTTAGTACTTAGTACAGCATCCTTTTACAGTTATAACAGCTTTTAAACGTGAAGCATAGCTTGACACAAGTGTCTTGCAGCGATCTACGGTATCTTCGCCCATTTCTTCATGGGCAAAGGCCTCCAGTTCAGTCACATTCTTAGGCTTGCGCACTGCAACTGCTTTCTTTAAGTCCCACCAAGGTTCTCAATCGGATTTAAGTCTGGTGACTGCGATGGCCACTCCAAAATGTATTTCCTCTGCAACCATGCTCTAGTGGACTTGGAGGTATGCTTGGGATCATTGTCCTGTTGAAAGGTCCAACGTCTCCCAAGCCTCAGGTTGTGTGACGGACTGCATCACGTTTCCATCCAATATCTCCTGGTACTGAAGAGAATTCATGGTACCTTGCACACGCTGAAGCTTCCCTGTACCTGCAGAAGCAAAACAGCCCCAAAGCATGATTGACCCTCCACCATGCTTCACAGTAGGCAAGGTGTTCTTTTCATCATAGGCCTTGTGAAACATAGCGTTGATCCATGGGCCCAAACAGTTCTAATTTTGTTTCATCAGTCCACAGAAACACTATCCCACAACTTTTGTGGTTTGTCCACATGGCTTTTGGCATACTGCAGTCGACTCTTCTTATTCTTTGGAGACAGCAAGGGGGTACGCCTGGGAGTTCTGGCACGGAGGCCTTCATTACGCAGTGTGCGTCTTATTGTCTGGGCTGAAACTTCTGTACCCACATCTGACAAATCTTTTCTCAGTTCCTCAGCAGTCACAGGGGACTTCTCTCCACTCTACGCTTCAGGTAGCGCACAGCAGTCGAAGTCAGCATCTTCTTTCTGCCACGACCAGGTAGCGTTTCAACAGTGCCCTTTGCCTTGAATTTGCGAATGATGCTTCCTAAGGTGTCTCTTGGTATGTTTAACATCTTTGCAATCTTCTTATAGCCATTGCCCTTCCTGTGAAGAGAAATCACCTCTTCTCTTGTCTTCCTGGACCATTCTCTTGCCTTCACCATGTTTGTAACCACACCAGTAAATGTCTAGAAGGAGCTGAGTATCACAGTCATTTTAAAGCTGCCTAATTGGTGCTTATTATGCTTGATTGCTGCTCGGTGACATCCACAGGTGTTTTCAATACCTGATGGAAAGCACCTGTATGAACCTCTGTTCTTCAGAGTGGTAGTCTTTAAGGGGTTGAAAAATTGTGGCAATGAAGAAACCACATAAGAACCATTTACTACTGTATTACATAAACAATTGATGTCATTTTAGTTGCATTTGGGTAGTTACAACGTCCTTGTAGGATTTGATTCTGAATACAATTCCAAATGTACACTATAGTCCCTAAACCCCTTTACAGCATTGGGGGTTGAATAATTTTGGCCACAACTGTATTTTACTCTATATTATGCTGAATGTTTCTACAGCCTTTTGCAGAGAACATGACCTATAGGAAGAAGTGGCCTGGACAGGTGTTTCTAGCTAGAAGTCCATTTTAGTAAAATTAAATATTCAAAAGTATGCAATGGTCACATTTAAGTGCTAAATGGCGGATAGCACTGGTATTAAAAATTTAAACAGATGCCTTCATCAATTAGCAAAGGCTGGAAAATTGGCTTTCCACTGATGTGAATGGAGGCCACAGCACACATGTTTGGGAACGGCTTTGAAGAATTCAGAAGACCTTGGGCAGAGGCTTTGTAGTACTTGGAAGGCTGTTGAAAAAAGATCTTGAAACCGTGAACTTGTAGGCATGAAAAAACTATACTGGAGGTACTGGGTGAGAATAAAGGGGATAAAACTGGTTCAGTAACTGAAAGGTACTTCTTGAACCATGCATCATTGCTATATACTGTAGGATAATATGCTTTATATATATATACAGATGTGTTTCAAAATAATAGCAGTGTGTTGAAAAAAGTGAATAAAGCTCAAAATCCTTCTAATAGCTTTTATTTACATACACACAAATGCATTGGGAACACTACACATTCTATTCCAAATCAAAACATGAAGAAAAATATATCAAATTTGTGATGTTCCTCTAAAAAAGTTGAAGAAAACTGAATATTAGACTGTACAAAAAAATAGCAGTGTTTGTATTCTTCTTTACAAACTCAAACATTCACTATATAAACTGAAAAATGTTTGAAGATTTTGCTTTCCTTTGAATCCCTTAATATTTAGTTGTATAAGCACTGTTTCTGAGAACTGCTGTACATCTGTGTTGCATGGAGTCAACCAACTTCTGGCACCTGTGAACAGGTATTCCAGCCCAGGATGATTGGACTACATTCCACAGTTCTTCTCTATTTCTTGGTTTTGCCTCAGAAACTGCATTTTTGATGTTACCCCACAAGTTTTCTCTCTGGATTAAAATCCAGGGATTGGGCTGGCCACTCCATAATGTCAATCTTGTTGGTCTGGAACCAAGATGTTGCATGTTTACTGGTGCATTTGGGGTCGTTGTCTTGTTGGAACACCCATTTCAAGGGCATTTCCTCTTCAGCATAAGGCAGCATGACCTCTTCAAGTATTCTGATGTATTCAAACTGATCCATGATCCCTGGTATGTGATAAATAGGCCCAACACCGCAGTATGAGAAACATCCCCATATCATGATGCTTGTGCAACCATGCTTCACTGTCTTCACAGTGTACAGTGGCTTGAATTCCGTGTTTGGGATCGTCTGACAAACTGTCTCCGGCCACTAGACCCAAAAAGAACAATCTTACTTTCATCAGTCCACAAAATGTTGCACCATTTCTCTTTAGGCCAGTCAATGTGCTCTTTGGCAAATTGTAACCTCTTCAGCACGTCTTTTTTTCAACAGTGGGACTTTGCGGGGGCTTCTTGCAGATAGCTTGGCTTCACATAGGCATCTTCTAATTGTAACAGTACTCACAGGTAACTTTACACCTTCCTTGATCTTCCTGGAGCTGATTGTTGGCTGAGTCCTTGCCATTTTGGCTATTCTTCTATCCATTCGAATAGAATTTTTTTACTTTCTTCCATGTCTTTCAGGTTTTGGTTGCCATTTTAAAGCATTTGCGATCATTTTAGCTGAGCAGCCGATCATTTTCTGCACTTCTTTATATGTTTTCCCCTATCCAATCAACTTTTTAATCAAGGTACACTGTTCTTCTCTGAACAATGTCTGGAACACCCCATTTTCCTCAGAATTTCAGAGAGAAATGCACTGTAACCAGCATGTACAACATTTGCTGCCTTCCTTCCTTCCTTAAATAAGGGCAATAATTGCCACCTGTTTTTCAAAGAATAAAATGACCTCACTAATAGAACTCCACACTGCTATTATTTTGAACATGCCCCTTTCAATTAGTGATTCAATTACACAGAATCAGCAGCATGCATGTCATGACTGTTGGATTTCTATTACTCTACTACACCTGCTAGTAAATTATTTGCCATGTAGAAATATCATTTCTACCAAAAACAGTGATTGATCAGGTTAGTGATGTCTGACTGCTATTATTTTGAACACAACTGTAAATATATACACACCCTACATAAATAAAATATTATATTAAATATAATGCATTACACTTATATAAATTAAACATTATTCAGAGAAGGAAGGGCACTCTGCTTTCTACATAACAGCTTTTCATAAGATGCAATGCTATAACACAAACATACTCAGCAGTATTTTAAAACGAATACTGAACCATTCATGTCACCATATTTAAATATATTTAATCTTTTCATTTTCTTTTAAATATCAAGCAGAGCCCAAATGATGACCTTCATAAAAAAGAATTCACTGTAATGTGTAATAAATCTACATATAATTGATTAGGTAGAGTAGGTAAGAGCTATGTCCTTGTGCTTGCTGCCAACAGTCTTAATAAAAAAAGTCGCTGGCTGAAAAGACCAGATTTAATCACATCTTTATTCTGCAGCAATTGTTTTCTCCTGTGGCATGAACACAAATGCAAACAGATGTTCAAATGTAGGGCTCTCACAGTGAAGGTTTCACTCACCTGCACTGAGCTGAGGTCTTGAAGAATTTGCTGACTGACGTTTTCTTTTTACAAGCATTGTGATCCATTTCTCAATTATGCCATTCCCTACAGAAGTCCACAACGATATACAGTTAGAGGTTTGGATATATGACCTTTTTTATTAGGCAATAAAACTGGCGGACACATGTGTTCTCTAGCATACGATGTCCACTTAGACATTCAGCCTATTATGTAACACAGTGCTTTGAAAAAGTATTCATACCAATTGAAATTTCCCACATTTTGTCATGTTACAACCAAAAACGTAAATGTATTTTATTGTGATTTTGTGTGATAGATCAACACAAAGTGGAACATAATTGTGAAGTGGAAGGAAAATGATAAATGGTTTTCAACATTTTTTACAAATATATATCTGAAAAGTGTGGCGTGCCAGTCAGTACTGTTCAATCATTAGTTCAAAAATGGAAAATTCATGGATCTCTTGATACCAAGACTTAGAAATATTATATAACTGCTAGAAGATTCAGGATCCCAATTACAATAATCCACAAGCACAGCTCTGCTGTTTACAGCCTGAGAAAAACATCTTTAGGGCTGGCCATGTCTCAACCCCACATAGGTATGAATAGGTCACATATTGAGACTGAAAAGATGTACGGCAGGTAAACAACAGAGGAGGCTGCAGCTCTGCTAATGAATCACACTTTTCTGTCTGGCAATCCAATGGATAGGTATGGGTTTGGTGGCTACCAGGAGAACAGTACTTGCCTGACTGCATTGTGCCAAGTGTAAAGTTTGGTGGAGGGGGATTATGGTGTTGGCTTGTTTTTCAGGGGTTGGGCTTGGCCACTTAGTTCAAGTGAAGGGAACTCTTAAGGCATCAGCATACCTAGATATTCTGGAAAATTTCATGCTCTCAACTTTGTGAGAACAGTTTGGGGATGGCCCCTTCCTGTTCCAACATGACTGTGCTACAGTGCACAAAGCAAGGTGCATAAAGACATGGATGAGCGAGTTTGGGGTGGAGGAAGTTGACTGGACTGCACAGAGTCCTGACCTCAACCCGACAGAACACCTTTGGGATGAATTAGAGCGCAGACTGTGAGCCAGGCCGACATCCGACATCAGTGCCTGGCCTTACAAATGCGATTTTAGAAAAATGGTCAAACCTTCCCATAGACACTACTAAACCTTGTGAACAGCCTTCCCAGAAGAGATGAAGCTGTTATAGCTGCAAAGGTTGGGCCAACTCAATATTGAACCCTACGGACTAAGAATGGGATGCCATTAAAGTTCATGTGCGTGTAAAGGCAGACGTTCCAGAACTTTTGGCAATATAGTGTATATAGCTGTCATATTAAATCAACTGCAACAGAACTTTCTGAATAACCAATTCAAAAGTATGCAGATCAGGTGATTTACCTTCAGTATGACTTTTTGGGATCTGCATGCTTTTCTGGGTCAGTGACTCGGAAAGCATTGCTTTTACTGGATTAGCATTACAGCCAGGCAACTAGTATTTTGAGAAGGAGGTTTGAAAAAACAGTTTCTAGATTGCTTTCAGTACATGTTCCCTTTAAGTGACTAGTAATACTTGTGAACTGTCATTAATTGATTCACACAATACCAAGGAAGCAATGGTAGATTTGTTAAATATATTTTACTTATTATCAAAATTAGATTTGGAGCAGCTTTTACTGAAGCTTTAAGGTACCTGTATCATTCCTGTGTGAGACCTCCTCAGATGCTTCTGATGTGATGCTGGTGGTTTCAGAAAACAAAACTTCATTAGATTTCATGTGTGAATATGATTCAAATGTATCACTTTCGTAGTCCAGAACAGGTTCATTGGTAAAAGATTCAAATGAATCACTTTCATAATTCCAGCAAGATTCCTCTGAAGTGGATTCAAATGAATCACTTGAGTAGTTTGCTGTGCTTCTCCCAGACCTGCTCTGTGCCAGTGCTTCTTCATAATCAGGACTTCCCTGACTGCCAGGGGGATGATTCATTACTGCTCTGCAAAATAAAAACACAATATTACTACAAGCAAAAAACAGTTTTACTCCCACCATACACAGGGGCCATGAAAGGGGAACCCTCTGATTAAAGTGCAAAGGTCAAAATAGGGCAAGCACAACAGACCTGCATCAGGGGGCCAATGACTTAAAAACCATCAGTTCAGGACAAGAAAACAACAACAACAATTTTGCTGCTCCTGGACAGTAAGAAAACACAATCAAAACTGAGAGTTGAAGGGTGGGAAGGGTTTTTCACTATTTTGCTTGCGTTTTCTATACAGAGAGGAACCATGAATCATCTCTCATGTTGCTGTCCTAGAAGATGATTGGGGAAAAGAAAAGTTTATGTAAAAATATTAGGAGTATTATACATGAGTGCTGTCAAAGAGCATCAGAGAAGTGGCATTAATTGCAGTAAGTATTTTCTATACAAACTCACAAGAGAACCACATTGATTCTGAGGTAATTTATATTTTAGATCTGGAGGCCTACTCTCGTTTATGTACCCCTTTGAACTAAAAAAAGAAAAAGAAATTATCTACTGTTCTTCACTACTGATTAACCTGGTATTGCAGAAGAATCCTTCCAGCATGCATAATATGAAATTTCTTCTCTTGATCTGTTCTCAGAATCTCAAATAAAAGCTGGCAAATTGCAAGTCTCAAGACACATAGAAAGTAAAGAAAATGCCAAACTTCCACAGTAGCCCTCCACAGGCAAAAAGTTTCAGGACCCCAGCCCAGCAAACAGATATCAGAGGTATACTGTAAATAAGATAGTTTTAAGACACAAGAATCTATTGATACAATTGATTTTTTAAGGTAAAAGAAGAGTAAAGCTGCTGAGCAACCAGTTTCAAGCCCCAACAATATAACATGACTTTCAGAGTGTAAATAATCCTGTAAATTTCCATTTATTGGGGTCCACCAGCTTAATGGTGTAGCAAATGATGCAACAAAGAGAACTACCACATGTTACCAGGGCTTCGTTTCAATCTAGGTTAGAATGGCTGGTGTGTAGGATATCCATGAAAAAACTATTTTCTTCAATACCAGTTAAGAAAACATTCTCAAATCTGGCTTACTTAAAGGCTGTCCTTAGAAAAAAAAAAACACTTTTTTCCTGGTGGCCAAACCAGTTTTCAAATGTAGAGCAGACCAAGGAATGACAACATTGTCAGGTTGAATGCTCTCCTGCCACTACCAATAGATTGCACAGGTAGTTCACAAAACACATTATCTGAATTGTTTAGTACTTGTGACATTGTAGTTCTATAGTTTGTAACCTTCTGCAATTGTCTTGAGTATCCAGGTGCTGGAGGAGAAATACCACCACCTTCCTAGGAATAAAAGAAGCTTTGGCTCCTTCAGACCTGAAAATGTGGCTAAACAGTGAATTAAGCAAAGTAATAGTGTAAATCTCTTCCTCAATCCAGATTAGCGGCTCCTAAATAACAGGAGGTTCCTTTTGGGCATCATGAACAATACATGAGCATGAAAAATACTTCTTCCAATCTCAATCCCTGATAAACAAAGCAAATATAGAAGAAGCTGAACGGAAAACTGTAAGGAAATTGGGATCATGGCAGCAGACTTCAGAATATTATTTACTGGGTTGCAGCCAATCTCTTGCTCCCCAAACTCAAAAGAGCATCCAGGTTTCTCTAACGATTCCATAGTGCAGTCAGAGAGAGTACAAGCCTCCAAATGACAAAGCACTGTACATACGATGTTGCAATCTGTAACTCTATATCTGACACTATGTTGCAATCTGTAAACTCTATATCTCATTGCATCACCTCATTTCTGTTCTGAAAGCACTCAGTTAATTTTTTTTTTTTTTGAAAGCAAGAACCATCTGAAGCAATCTACAATGCAATAAACATCTGTTGCCTAAACTGGGCTATCAAGTCCCTTGCTGCTGATTGCTTGCCAAATAAGGGGTCCCTTTTGAAGTGTATTTTAAACAGCCTCCTACACCAACTGTGCTCAGAAAAATCTGCTCCTGGTAGGTGGATTGATGTTTCAGAACAATGCAGGGCTGGTCTCCCATCATCAAACAGCATGCCTTAATAGCAACAAACATCTTGCAATAAAGGATGCAAACACATGACCAGACTATTCTTCTAGAAACAATCTGTAAGGCACGATCCAAGAGGATGTCTTATGACGTCCACCCGCATCATTGAGAGTACTGCTCAGTCGTCATTTTGTTGTTGGCCAGGCAGGAACTGGTTAAAGAAAGCCCAGTCACAACAGAAATATGTAGGTGACCATTTTTGACCTCCTAATTTTAAAAAAGAAATCCAGTATAGGCATAAAAAATATGGTATAAAAAAAAAAAAAAAAAAAATCACCCATTAGTACACCCTCCTACAAAAAACACTAAACAGTTAATAACCCTCCAGATCCCGGCACACCCCCCCCCCCATGTGAATGAGTATGTGGTACATGGTACTGCTACCCATTCACAAAAAAAAGTGCAGTGCGAAAAAAAGACAGGAGACAGTCTTTGACAAGAAAAAGAAAGGCTCCGCTCTCAATGCTGGCTCATGCCATTTGACTGCTCTGCTGACTTGACAGGTCTTAAATATGTAAGGGGTGGGGCAACCCGGTGACATCACATGTGTGACCACACCCCTTGTGATATCATCAACCCAGCATGCATCAGTCAATGACGTCAAAAGGGGCGGGGTCACACGCGGGATGTCACCGCCATTTTTTTTTTTTGGAGTGGGGATTCCCCTCAAAACACATACCAGACCCAAAGGGCTTTTTTTCATTTTTTTTTTTTAATTGCCAGCAATTCTTTCTTTTACATTCAGCTATCAGTGGGGAACCCCGCTGACAGCTGAAACTATAACACATGGTTTTTACTACTAAAATAATGCATGACTTAATAACTCTTGTACAACTCATGTAGTATTTTAGTAGCACTTTTTAGTGAATTCAAACTTTTTTTTTTTTTAAATGATATGCGGTATACTACCGCATACTCGAATGTGGTAAAATACTGCTTAGTGAATTGTGCCCAGTAACTCAGATGTGGGCGGCACAGTGGCTTAGTGATTAGCATGTCTTCTGTGCAGTAAATGGGTCATGGGTTCAATTCCCAACCATGGCACCGCCTGCCTGGAGTTTGCATGTTCTCCCTGTGCTTGCGTGGGTTTCCTCCGGGTACTCTGGTTTCCTCCCACACTCCAAAGATATGCTGGTAGGTAATTGGCTCCTGTCTAAATTGTCCTAGTTTCATCCCTGGCCATGCGGGATCTCCTGCATGGTAGGGGTCGGGGAAAGACCTGGCAACCTACCCTGTAAATAATTGCTAAGAGAATTCATGGAAAAAGTTGCTTACGAGTAATGGTTCATGCAATTGCCAAGGGTCGGATATGACTGAATGGATAGATAGATAGAACTCAGATGTAGGCCACTAGCATTACTACTTTACTACTGACTGTAGTAATTTAAAGCTAAACTCCATCTTTTGTTCCACTTTACATAGTTTTTTGGGGCCAAGCTTGTCAGAGAGGTGGATTGATGATTTCACAACCTCTGACTAATTGATACAATACATCAGTTTCTCTGAATGGCTGGGCACAGCTCCAACAGACTCTATTGTGTTCCAGGTCTGATACAAGAAGGTCTTGGCTCAGACCGGAACACAATGCTGTACAGTGGGGATCGAAAGTTTGGGCACCTCAGCTAAAAATTTGTATTAATGTGCATAAAGAATCCAAGGAAAGATGGAAAAATCTCCAAAAGGCATCAAATTACAGATTAGACATTCTTATAATATGTCAACAAAAGTTAGATTTTATTTCCATCATTTATACTTTCAAAACAACAGAAAACAAAAAAATGACGTCTGCAAAAGTTTGGGCACCCTGCAGAGTTAATATCTTGTACTGCCCCCTTTGGCAAGTATCACAGCTTGTAAACGCTTTTTGTAGCCAGCCAAGAGTCTTTCAGTTCTTGTTTGAGGTATCTTTGCCCATTCATCCTTACAAAAGTCTTCCAGTTCTTTGAGATTTCTGGGCTGTCTGTCACGCACTGCTCTTTTAAGGTCTATCCATAGATTTTCAATTATGTTGAGGTCAGGAGATTGTGAAGGCCATGGCAAAACCTTCAGTTTACGCCTCTTGATGTAATCCCCCGTGGATTTCGAGGTGTGTTTAGGATCATTATCCATTTGTAGAAGCCATCCTCTCTTTAACTTCAGCTTTTTCATAGATGGCATCAAGTTACCATCCAAAATATGCTGAAATTTTATTGAATCCATTTTTCCTTCTACTCGTGAGATGTTCCCTGTGCCACTGGCTGCAACACAACCACAAAGCATGATTGATCCAACCCCATGCTTAACAGTTGGACAGAGGTTCTTTTCATTAAATTCTGTGCCCCTTCTTCTCCAAACGTACCTTTGCTGATTCCGGCCAAAAAGTTCAATTTTAACCTCATTGGTCCACAGAACTTGTTTCCAAAATTCATCAGGCTTGTCTATATGTTCATTTGCAAAGTTCAAACGATGATTTTTGTGGTGGAGACGTAGAAGAGGTTTTCTTCTGATGACTCTTCCATGAAGACCATATTTGTACAAGTATCTCTTTATAGTGGAATAGTGTACCACAACTCCAGTGTCTGCCAGATCTTTCTGGAGGGATCGTGCAGTCAAACGTGGGTTTTGAATTGTTTTTCTCACAATTCTGTGAGCTGTTCTGTCTGATATTTTTCTTGGTCTTCCAGATCTTGCTTTAACTTCCACTGTTCCTGATGACTGCCATTTCTTAATTACATTCCGAACAGAGGATATTGACATCTGAAAACGCTTTGCTATCTTCTTATAGCCTTCTCCAGCTTTGTGAGCGTCAACTATTTTCAGTTTCAGTTTTCTAGACAACTGCTTAGAACAGTGGTTCTCAACCTTTCTAATGCCGCGACCCCTTAATACAGTTCCTCATGTTGTGGTGACCCCCAACCATAAAATTATTTTTG